AGAAGTTTCCATTGCTATACTACAGTCTGAACTCTTGAGAAATGGGTGGTTAAGCAAAGCTTCCAGTTAGAAATAACTCAAATATTTCTCGAGTAAAGAAAATGGGAAAACATAGCTTATGCTTTAAAAAAAATTACATGAAGTTTTGCCTGAAGCAAAATTCCTACACCATAAAAATTTAAAGCAACTTCCCAAATCTCTAGTGCAGACACGAAAACATAAGTCACTTCATCAATGAAACGACTTATCCTGGCAAGCTTCCCTGAATGAAAGCAACCATAGTCTACATAAAAGGGAAAGAGAATGTGAAATAAAGATTTGTTACTCTGTAAACAAAAAGTCATTAATTTTCTGAATGGAAGTTAGTAATTATTTCTGGAAGAAATATGATAATTTTCTGTTCCCGATTACAATTGTTTTCAGAGGATAAACAGATCCATCTGAGAGTGACAACATAGTGAATCCTACCAACTCTATACTCAGAAAAAATTAATTTGTTCAGAAGAGTTGGATGTAATTGGTAGTTAATATTCCCTTAGAATAGCAAGGCATAACTAAAAAGCTCAGAATCTGATTCATTACATATTTAACAATAATATTTAGACAACCGAACTTAGTATACATTGCAGGGTTATAACTCACTTAATTAAAAGATCCTAAATTCTCATTAGTTGAAAGAAACTATTCCTTAAAAGTTCTTACAACACCTACCTCTCCTCTATGAGTCATAGTTAAGCCTGCTTACAGAAAAGCCTTTGCAAGTTTTTCCCATTACCTGTTCAGTGGGTCGAGATTAAATAATAACGAGAGCTGTGTAGTCATTATATTAGCTCTCCACCTAGTAGAAAACCTCGCAATTATTTTAGAGAAGGTTCAAGTATACTTATGGAATTATCGTGGAGTCATCTTTAATTTCTGCCTCTCTCATTAAGATTCACCTTAAGGTTGTTTTTTCTGGGGGGTGGGGAGAGTGGGTTTGGGACCACACCCGGCAGTGCTCAGGGTTTAGTCCTGGATCTTGTACTCAAGAATGAGTCCTGGTGGTGCTCAGAGGATCATATGGGATGCTGAGGCTTCAACCCAGGTCAGATGCAGGCAAAGCAAATGCACAGCCCGCTGTACTATGGCTGGGGCGTCTAAGATTCTTCTTAAGCTAAGTCATGTATTAGTCATGTGATTTTAAAAATACTGTCACGTCAGAAATCAAGTTCACAGTAAAATCTCATTAACAATCTAGAAAGTACTGAGATTTCGATGTCAAACTAGCTCAATAGCTGTCAGAGTGGGAACTTGGAACTGCAGCATCAGCAAATTCTAGAAGAAATGTACATGACAGGGAGATTCTCAGGCTCCACCCCATGCCTACTACATCAGAAACTCTCGGAAATGGACCCCACAATCTGCGTTTTAACAAATTCTCCAGGTGATTCTGAAATACAGTAAGTAAACTTTGAGAACTGTGACCTAGGTAATTCTGGCCAAAGCACTTAGGCTAAACATCAACCTTGATATAATCTCCCAGGTTGATGAACTGAATTATTTAATCTCTCCACTCAGGAAAACAAAAGGAAACAAAATAAAACAAATGCGATGTTTCTTTTTATTCCCTAATGATACCCCAAAGCAATCTGATGAGATGATTTGTTTCAACTAGAAATAATCCAATGAAAAGTTTCTCAAGAGATGGTAGAGCAGGTAGGGTGTTTGCCTTGCCCTTGGCTGACCTGGGTTCGATTCCGGGCATCCCATAAGGTCCCCGAACTCACTAGGAGTGATCCCTGAGTGCAAAGTCCAGTTCTAGTTAAATCCTGGGATAATAGTTAGAATGGTGGTATTGGGAGTGATTGTTTGAGAGCTGTTATCCTACACAGCTAGACTGTCAGAAAGACCAGAATATTGCTGAGCGTTTATTTAATGTGGCAGTTCACCTCATTGACTCCAAAGAACACTGAAGATAGTTAATAAATATGTTCACGAGAACTACAGTAAATGTCAAGGGAAAAAAATAATTGAAGTAGAGGTGAAGTTTTTCTCTGTAGAAATATTTAGAGTAAATGCAGAGAAATATTTAGAGTAAATGTAGTTTTGCCCCTGTATTTCAAAATGTGCTATGCCAAGATCAAACAGGACATTCATCACACTTGAGGTTGCCAAGCTCCACTAATCTGGAGGCAATGATGTAAAAGACCTACTTTGGGAAGGGATACAAAAATAGTCACCTTTAGGACACACCTTGTGTTCAAACATACAAGTATATTTAGTGTCATCTCATAAGCTTGCAATATTCTGAAATAATTTAATTCTGTAGAGTTAAACTTCATATCAGGTATTAAAAATGTACAGTAAACCAAAATCTATATAACCAAAACCAGCAGACTGAAAATAATACTTTCTTTAGAAAAGTCTATACATTGTGTGATCTTAGAAAGGAATATCATTCAGCCACCAAAAGGAATAAAGTGCTGATTCATGTAGAACATGAATGAATCTTGAAAATACTATGTAAAGTAAACAAAATCAGGCACATATTACAGTGTCATATGAAATGCTACTGATATGAAATGCTCAGAACTGGCAAATCTATAGAAAAGATTAAAGAATGGCTATTAAAGGAGTTGCTTTGGAGTGTAACCAAAATGTTTTGTAATTAGACAATTTTGATGGTTGTAGTCCTTGAAAGTATACTAAAAACACTTTTAAAACAATAAGCTGTACGATATGTAAATTATTTTTCAATATATTCAGGGACTATGGCTTGCACAGCATAAAAAACAATATCCTAGATCAAGTTCCATACGGTAGTGAGATTTACTTTCAAGAAAAATCCAAGAAGCAAGAGGACTGGCACTGTTGCTAAACAAGATCACTAATAGATATGAAATTTAAAAGGTGTGTATTTGCTGGCCACAGGACTTAACAAAACACCCTCTCCCCCAATTTATTTATGGTTTTAGAGACAATCATGGGACCAGATTCCCACACAAATCTTAAGTGTCAACCGTGAGTTTCATATCACCTCTGAGCACTTCAATTAAACTGTATTTATATTGCAATTCTCTTCTTTAGACCATGAAAAGAACTTAGCTTTGCAAAGGTTGCTGTACCAAAAGCAGCACCATCTATTGGATGAAAATATGGGTTTCTGTATTATAAAATTTCAAGTTTAAAAATGGGGGCTGGGGGCTTGATGGACATGGAGAGTATCATGCTGAATGAAGTGAGTCAGGGGGAAAGGGACAGAGAATAATCAAAATCATTCGTGGGATATAAAAAATAATAGTATAAGACTAATATCCAAAGGCAGTTGAAAGGAAGGAGGACTGGTCTATGACAGGAAGCTTGCCACAAGTTGGGGTGTGGTAGTGGGGTGGGGAGGGGTGCAGTTAGGACAGAGAGGGGCTGCTATGACAATGATCATTGCAAATGTTCACCCTGGACAAGAAATGAATGGTGAAAGTAGGTAAAGTGATATGCCTGATAACCTTTCAGTAACAGTATTGTGACCACAATGCCTAAAAGGTAAAAAGGACGGGGGTGGGGGGGGGGGTGGGGGGTGTCTGCCATAGAGGTAGGCTGGGATGGAGGACAGATGAAACTGGGGAAATGGTGGTAGAACATGTACACTGGGGAAGGGATGAGTGTTGGAACATTATATGACTGAAACCCAGTCATGAAGAACTTTGTAGCAGTGTATCTCCAGATGATTCCTTTTTTTTTTCTTTTTGGACCATACCCAGTGATGCTCAGGGGTTACTCCTGGTTCTGCACTCAGGAATTACTCCTGGCAGTGCTTGGGGGACTATATGGGATGCTGGGGATTGAACCCGGGTTGGCTGTGTTCAAGACAAAAGCCCTATCCACTGTACCATCTCTCCGGCCCCCAGATGATTCCTTTTAAAGTTTTTTTCCCCCTTATCTGGAGGACTGTAGCTGGAAAGGTTTAAATGTACTCCAAACAGATTTTAAAACCCTCAAGTCTATTATACTCCAACCTAATAGAAAATCTTCATGAAGAAAAAAATAAGCATCAATTTAATAAAAGCAAAAACCCAATATTACAATGCCTCTGGGAAAGAAATGACTGGAACATTTGCATCTGCAACTCAGGTAAATAATGCAGCTAGCTATGTCGAAATGCAGTTTCAGGACTTAAGTGTGCAGCCTGGAACACTGGTCGATGAAAGAGGAATCCGCGGGTCAAGAGATCAACCTGCAGTCTAGTTCTAACTTTGGCAGCTTTGCCAGAAACGCCTTTAGAAATTATGATTGAAACTTTTTTTTTTAAAGTAACTGCCCAGACTTGGCTGTGACTAAATTTAAAGTACTGAAAAACACTGACAGTCAGGTTGGTGCTTGTTCCTGTCACTATGTTGCTTCCGTGGTGTGCGGGTGTCTCTGTGTAATTCGCATCAGCCACGTGCATTTTCCATCTAAGCGCACAATACCCGGAGCATGAAATTAGCAGCAAAAGCGCGGTTTTACAGCGAGGAGCCCCGCACCTGGTTTATATTTTAGACTGTATTTCCCCTGTGCATCTAAAAAACGGGGGGTGGGGACGCTTCCCAAGAGAGTGAGAGAGACAGACAGAGAGACAGACAGACAGATAGAGAGACAGACAGACAGACAGAGAAACAGAGAGACAGACAGACAGAGACAGAAACAGAGAGAGGAGAGAGAGAGAGAGAGAGAGAGAGAGAGAGAGAGAGAGAGAACAGCAACCCTGAAAGTAGCTACCCTGAAAGCCCAAGCTCACTCGGGGCGGCCCCCGAGCTCGGCTCCCCGCGGCGGTGGGACGCTGGTGGAGGCGCAGTGGAGTGGGGGGTGTTGGGGTTCATTTTCACCCCCGCCGCCGACACCCACCGCGCCCCACCGAGGCACCCCTGCCTGCACCACCCTCTTTATCGTCTGCACCGATGGCGGTGGGCGCCAACAGCGTCCGGGATGTGTCCCCAAAGATCCCCGAGAGGAGATCCCCACGCCGACGTGCGCTCCCCACTCACCCAGACGGCACACGCAGAGCAGCTGCACCCAGGACAGGAAGCGCTGCGGGAGGAGCATTTTCCAGCCGGGTCCCGGGTTCCCCGCCGCGCGGCTGCTCGGCTCCTCGGGATGGAGAGGGCAGAGGGGGGCACGGAGGAGAGGTTTGCTCCGGCGCCGTCCAGGGTACAGACTGATGGAGAGAGAGAGAGAGAGTGGGGGGTGGGGGGCGAAGGGTTTGCAACCGGGGTTGGGGCGGGGGGGGGGGGGGGCGGAGGCAGAGATAGAGAGACACACAGTGAGAGACAGAGAAAGCTAGGGAGAGACAGAGAGACAGAGAGCTAGGGAGAAGAAGGGAGAGGAGGAAGAGAGACAGAGAGACAGAGACAGAGACGGGGGAGACAGGGAGAAGAAGAGGGGAGAGGAGGAGGAGGAGGAGAAAGACAGAAAGAGAACGGGAGAGATAGGGAGAAAAGAGACGGAGCGAGCGCGGGAGAAATGGGGAGAGACGAGGGAAAGAAGGAGACAGAGAGAGAGAGAGACAGAGACAGAGACACAGAGAGAGAGAAGAGACAGAGACAGAGACTGAGAGAGCGCGCGCGATCGCCGGATGGAGCGGCGCCCGGCGGCGGGGAGCAGCGAGCGGGGCACCAGCGGTGGTCCCGGGGGTCGCGGGCGGCAGCCGCGTTGTGAGCTGCGGGCGCGGCGGCGCGGTGCCGGGTGCCGGGTGCGCGCTCGGGCCGTGCGCGCCGCGGCGGGGCGGGGGCGGCGGGCCCGGGGTCGCGCGCCGGGGCCTCGGCGGGGAGGGAGGGGACGCGGCCCGCGCTGCTGCTGGGTCGCGGCGGAGCTTTCAGGGAGCGACTCCCCGCCCCTCCCCCCCCACCCCCCATCCCCGGCACCCCTTGCAGGTCCCCGCCTCCCGCCCGTCCCCGCCAGGGGCTTCAGCTCGTGGAAAGCGCTGGGCTTTAGGAGGAGATGTCTCTGCTAAAGGATTCCAGCCGCCTCCCATTGCCCGGCTCACCCAGAGCATCGCACCTTTGGGGGTCTCCCCTACTCCCGCCCCCCCCCCCAAGAGAACGTGCTTCACTTTATTGTTTTCCTCCCGGGGATGCTCAGTGGGTCCCATCAGAACGTGGGGCGGCGGTGCCCGGCTAAAGCTGGGCTTCCTCGCTCCCTTCTCTTTCCTTGCTCCAAAATCACCCAAAAGGTCCCGCATGCTACCTGTCAGGTCGTCGTCCAGCAGAAGTGGTCCCTTCCTCCCAGACGCCAAACTGTCCTGCGGGGCACAGCGGCTGGGGAACTTTTCGATCCGGCGCTGTCTTCCCAGTCCCAGACTCCAGTGCCCGCGGACTCAGGGTCGCTCAGAACGTAATTCTGTCCGTTGGCCAAAGGATAATTGAAAGAAGCAGAATTCCCTGCCTCCTGCGCCCTGGAAAGCTGGTCGGGTCGGGCGCTGCACAGGTTCAGAGGGCGGTTTCCCAAACTGTGCTATGCTCTTTTGCTGCTAGGGAGATGGCTTTTATTTTCATAACTCCAACTCCTAGCACGGTAGCAAAATAATCAGTAGGTGTCTCAACTTTTTATGGAATTTATTGAGACCCGAAGGCAAAGAGAATAAGGCAGCTGGGACCTGACTCTCGCCTGTCCAGAGAACACATTCGGATTCTCAAGAGCCTTGGTCTATTGGTACATTTCCCTACTTTTATGAGACCCCATATGGAATCTTCTAGGAGTCCGCTCTTAAGGCACAGAAATTTAAGTTACAGAATTATCTCTTGTATTCTTAGCAGCCATTTGATGTAAGCTATCCGTACAATGTGTACTGTGTTCTGTTCTTGTGTCAAAAATAGTATTTTGGCTTTAAAAATGTGAAGAAAACTTACTGCTTACAAAATTGGCTTCGGAGTGTATTTCAAGTGTTACTACCAGTTCACACTAAAATCCAGAGTCTCTGGAAGAAGACTAAATATGCAGAGCTAATTGATGAAGCTTGCTATTGTTTTAGGAATACATCATCGTTGTAAAAAATTTTGCGCCCGCTCCTCTCTGGAAAGAAAGATGGCGGCCGCACGGGAGCCTTGTGGAAAGCGGGTTTGAGCCGGACTCGGGGGAGCGGCGGGGACCTCATGGGAAGGGGGGCTTTGTGGGCCGTCCCCCACGCCCCACCGAGGTCGTCAGCTGCCCCCCACGAGCGGCTCTCCGGCACGGCCACGGCCCCGGAGGCACAAGGACTTAGCACAGAGAACCAGCCGCTTGGAGCAGAAAGCAAATGGACTTGTGTTGATCCGCGCCACCAAGCCTGCCCAGAGGGGGAAGGGTGTTGACCGGCCCGCCCGCTCCTCTCTGGAAAGAAAGATGGCGGCCGCACGGGAGCCTTGTGGAAAGCGGGTTTGAGCCGGGCTCGGGGGAGCGGCGGGGACCTCATGGGAAGGGGGGCTTTGTGGGCCGTCCCCCACGCCCCACCGAGGTCGCCAGCTGCCCCCCACGAGCGGTTCTCCGGCACGGCCACGACTCCAGGGCACAGAAACCAATCTCTTAACTAGCTAACTTTTAATAGAAATTCTTCCAGGGTCAATAAGTAAAGTAGCAGAAATTCAAAACCGCGCGGCCGCAATAGCGGCCGCGCGACATCATTTTATTCTTAAACCAAGTTGTAGAAAGCAAATCATTTCACAACGCTGTTTCAGCATGTCTGATTGGGGGGGGGGGGGGGGTCGTAAACTCTAAACAATAATTGTGCATCTTCTATCGAAATAATCTATCTAGTCAAAGTAGATAGAGTATTAACTAGAACTCATCTGCCTCACAAAGAATTGGGAGGGGTGGGAGGTGGGGGTCTATTGGAGTTCGGGGTTAAAAATGAGTATTGGTAAAGGGAAATGTGTTTGGTATCTACATGACTGAGACCTAAACCCGAAAGCTCTGTAACTTTTCCCACAGTGATTCAATAAATAAATAAATTATTAAAAAAAAAATTTGGATCTATCTGAAAACTTATTCTGAAATGCATATAAATATTAAGAAATTTAACTTGACCCTATTCACCCCCATGAATAGAAATAGAAATATGTCTTTTATAAGAATTATAATGGGCTTGATGGTTACTCATGTAAGTTTCCATTTAAGAAAAACATTTTTTCCTAATATAAGCTAGAAATGCACTGATAGACCAGAGAGTATGGACACAGAGACATTCTCCAGAGATGGTAGTTAACCTACGATTAACAGAGAAAAAATTGATATCCAAGAGGGTGAGGACAAGAGTCAAAGAAGTAAAACCACATCCTGTAAAACCAGCATGGATTAAGTTGGAACAGACCAATTGGATCAAACCATGGAAGTTGTTGATTTCCTAGGGGGAGGAGCTTGCTCTGAAATACTAAGCAAGAAGGAACCACAAATGGAATGTACAAAACCTTTCAACTGTTTCAATGCGCTATTAATACATTGTACCAATAGCCCATTTTTTCAGAAGGTGTGTGGTCCAGGAGATCTCAAATTTTGCCTAATAAAATAATCCAAGAATAGCAACAAAATTCATTCTAATTCCACTCTTACTTGTCCCTCACATATCACTAGTGAGTCTTTTGAGTTAGAGTTTAAAAACTCTAGTTTAAAAAAAATTTTAAACTCTAATTTAAAAAAATCCATGGGGGCGGTGATGACAAGTGGGTACTGGGAACTCTGCTATTTAGTTTTTTTAGCTAAGATTATTGTTATTCACTTGGAAAGGGGTAAAAGCTATCTTAAGGGAGTCCTCAAGTGATTGCTGAGTTTTGAACTGACAATTTTGCGAGATGGCAATCAATTCTTTTTGACTGAGTGACAGCAAAGGCGACAGATGAGGAGGGAAAAAACAGACAACATGTATTTAATCATCCTGGGAAGGGTCTTGGAGTTGGAGGCTTGGAAAATTCAGGTCCTTGGAAAATAGGTCATTGCTATAGCCCAGATGTGAACAAAGAGAAGGCATCAGAAGGGCGGGCATCAGAACATAATGTGTTTCCTCATTTCATAATTTCATAGGCGACATAGTCTCTTGTGAGCCTTGTTACACTTGATCAATATACAATAATCTTAGTGGACTAAATGTATAAATCTTTAAAAATCCATATGGCTACAGAGTCCCTGCCTGTTATCTATCTAATATCATGATCATCTGAATTCTTTAAAAATGTATCCTGGAGCTGGAGTGATAGCACAGTGGGTGGGGTGTTTGCCTTGCACGCGGCCAACCCGGGTTCGATTCCCAGCATCCCATATGGTCCCCTGAGCACCGCCAGGAGTAATTCCTGAGTGCAGAGCCAGGAGTAACCTCTGTGCATAGCCGGGTGTGACCCAAAAGCAAAAAAAAAAAAAGTATCCTATAGTGGCAGAAAGACAGTATAGCAGATAAGATGGTTGCGTTGAACAGAGCCAACCTGGGCTCAATTTCTAATTTGCCACACTACATATGGTCCCCTGAACACCATCAGGAGTGATCTTGAATCCTCAGCACAAAAGTAGGATTAATCCCTGAGCATTGATGGGTGTGGCCCATTATGTATCATGCATTGCTTCAGGAATTAAACCATTCAAGGATGAATAGCCCCCTCCCTACCATAAAGAAATTCAAAGTATAGTTACAAGAAAGCCATCTCAAGGTTTCCTACTACAAAATGTCTTTGTGAAGGATTGTCAGTTACATTCGAATTGTAGATAAACAATGAATAGTTTTTAGATAAAAATTATTTAAATTCTCTTCAGTATGATACATTTAATAAATAATATTCAATACAAATATTAAATTTTAGTGTGAGATACTTTTAGTGCATTCCCATATCATACTGGGGGCATATTTAAAATTTCAAAATATTCATTGCTTATCAGAAATTCAAATTGGGCTTGATGTCCTGTATTTTTATTTGCTAAATTTAACAATCTCACTTCAGTGTGTCTGGAAATTGTCTAGATAGGAATATCAGCCTACTCTTTTATGATGCTGATATGTCCACTGTTTTCCATGTTTTTGTATTCCACAAATTATTGCCAAAGTGCCTGTAAAATGAATAAAGAGAGAGCAGATGGGGGAAGGAGGGTGTTTTTGCTGAAGAATCTGTCTGACTCCTAAATTCAGTGGAAGTGCTAGGATAGTGCAGAGTATTTTGTAGTCACTGAATAAAACATGAAATTAAAGGGGAAGTAAAGTTTCTCTTCCTCATATG